CATGCTAATCATTTCTTACAGCACAATAGCAGTTCATTATATTCATATACTACAACTTGTTCAGCCATTCCCCAGTTGATGGGCATCCCTCAATTTCCAATTTTTGGAAATTGCTCAAAAAGAGCTGCTATAAATATTTTTGTACAAATAGGTCCTTCCCCTCCGTCTTTTTTTTTTTTTGTCTCTTTGGGATATAGACCTGTAGTGGCATTGGTGGATCAAAGAGTATGCACAGTTTGATTGCCCTTTAGGCATAGTTCTAAATTGCTCTCTAGAATGGTTGGATCAGTTCACAACTCCACCAACAATGCATTAGTGTCCCAATTTTCTCACATTCCCTCCATCATTTATTATTTTCCTTTTTGTATTATTAACCAGTCTGATAGGTATGAGGTGGTACCTCAAAGTTTTTTTGAATTTTAATTTCTCTAATCATTAGTGATTTTAGAGCATTTTTTCATGTGACTATAGATAACTGATTTCTTTATGTGAGAACTGCCTGTTCATATCCTTTGACCATTGTCAATTGGGAAATGACATTCATTTCTTACAGCATGGTAATATGCCATTATCTTTATATACCACAATTTGTTTAGCCATTCTCCCATTGATGGGGATCTACTTTTGTTTCCAGTTCTTTGCTATTATAAAAAGTCCTGCTATGGATATATTGATGTATATGAGGACTTTCTTATCAATGGCTTTGTTAGTACATAAGCCCGTATTTTCCTTAGGGTATGAGCCTAGCTTATTTTTGTCTTTGTAAAGGGTTTGGACATTTTAGTCATTTTATTGCATAATTTCAAATTTTTTTTCAGAATGCTTGTATGTATTCACAGTTCCACCAACAATGTACCTGTCTTCCCACAACCCCTCCAACATCGACTATTGCCATCCTTTTTCATCTTTGTTGATTTGTAGGGTATGAGGTAAAGCCGCAGGGTTATATTGATTTGTATTTCTCTTATTATTAATGATGTATACATTTTTTCGTATGGTGGCGAATAGTTAGTAATTTTTCTTTGGAGAACTATCTAATCATGTCCTTTGACCACTTATCTTTTGGGGGATGTCTGTTGGTCTTATATTTGTTAATTGTTCATGTCTCTTGGATAACAAGCCCTTTACTGAAAAATATGACAGAATTTTTTTTCCCTATTCCCTTCCCTTCTTATCCTAGGTCACTGCACTGCTGTCTGCCTGAGTTTCCTCATCCGTAACATGGGGGTAACAGTACTTTCCCTCCAGTGTTGTGAGGATCAAATGAGATATTTGTAAAATGCTTAGCAGTGCCTCGCACGTAGTAGGTGTCATGTAAATGATTATTCCTTTCTCTTCATCATGCCCATTCCCACAGTATATTTAAACTGATTATACAAAAGCAGCTTGATTGTACAGTAGATAGAGTGCTGACTTTGGAGTCAGGAAGACTTAAGTTCAAATCCTGCATGTTACTAACTGTGTGACCTTGAGCAAGTCACTTAAGCTCTTTTGATTTGTTTACTTATTTGGTTTTTTTGTTTTCCTTTTGTTTTGGTTTTTTTTTGGTGAGGCAATTGGCATTAAGTGACTTGCCCAGGCTCACACAGCTAGTCAGTGTCAAGTGTCTGAGGTCAGATTTGAACTCAGGTCCTCCTGACTCTAAGGCTGGAGCTTTATTCACTGTGTCACCTAGCTGTTCTCCCCTCCCCCCTTTTACTTATTTGTAAAAGGGGTTCATAGCACCTACCTTCTTAAAGAGATGTTGTTAGGATCAAATGACATAATATATGTAAAGTGCTTTGCAAATATTAAAGTACTATATAAATGCTAATTATTATTGTTAGCCACCACAGCTGTGACATAGACAGGGAATCTTCTACCCATTTCTACTTGAGCAGTAATACTGCTTACTTTGGTAGGCCTGTTTCCAAAATTCCCAGTAGAAACTGGGGTTCCTCACTGGAATCATCTAGAGTCCCCAGTATAGCAGTTATTTCACCACCAGTGTATCTAGCAGCCGCGTATATTCATATATTTGATGGTTCCCATTTGACCCCTTGCCCCCTTCCAAGCCATTGTCACTTGGGCAGTGGTTGTAACCACTGGTCCTGCAGTTAGAATAGTCTGAGCTTCAGGGGAAACTTGGCTCTTGTTCTAGGACAGGGGCTCTTAGCCTGGGGTCTGTGAACTATTTTTAAAAATTTTTATTAGGGGGCAGCTAGGTGGTACAATGGATAGAGCACCGGCCCTGAAGTCAGGAGGACCTGAGTTCAAATCCGGCCTCAGACCAAACACTTGACACTAGCTGTGTGACCCTGGGCAAGTCACTTAACCCCAATTGCCTAAAAGTAAAAAAAAAATTTTTTTAATAATTTTTTTTTATATTTCAGTATGATTTGTTTCCCATGAAATCCTATATATTTTAGGCATTTAAAAACAGTCCAAGAAAGCTTCCATAGGTCTCACCAGACTGCCAAAAAATGGTCCAAGACACAAAGCATGTTAAGAGCCCTTGCTCCAAGTCCTTAAAGTCTGCATACAAGGCTTAGGTAGCTTGTAATGGCCAGGTAAGGTGGGGACTTTCAGGGATGTCCTAAGTTTGGGCCATACAAAAGCACCCTGATGTCAGATATCGTGGTATAATTTTACTAAAATAGGCTGATGATCACTCATCTTTCTTAAAACCATGTTTCAAGGGTTGCATTCAAAACTCCTTATGGGAGATGGTATCATCACAGCTCATCTAGTAAGATGACAGGCACAGAGCCTCCTCCCATCATCCCCTGAGCACCTATTTGTGTGAGGAACCATATTTTCCTAGAAAACCACTGGAGCTGTCTAGTCACCTGTCTGGATATCATGAGTTGCTCTGCCCAGGTCTGTCTGGAGGTGTGATGGCCCATAGCTAAAGTATAATGCCATTCATGTGGCCTCCACCCAGAATGTGAAATCTAGTTGCCTCAGACACAGGCTGGTCATAGGGTGGGTAGAGGAGGTGGGGTGAGGTATGAGGTAAGTTTACGAGACCCATCTCTTTAGGAACTTTCCCACCTCCCTTGCTGACCCCACTAGGAAACTACCTAAAGATGGAATTCATCTTTATTGGGCCACATATGCAGAACTCCTCATCTTTGCCACCTGAAAAGGATGAAGGGTAATTGCTATCTAGGGCCTCTAACTGATTTAACTGAGTTTCCCCAAGGGAATTTATCTGTGAAGCCTTGCAAACTGATGATACTCTGCAGCTGGGATTACATGTTACCTCCATTAGACCACACCCTCAATAACACCCTCGCTAATACCCTCAATAATGATTTGTTAGGTTGCTGTTTAAGCTTCTGCAAATTCCCAGGTTTGTGGTGGTAAAAGCCCACCCACTATCTGATCCCTCTGTAGAGGAAATCCCACTCCAGGAGGTTGTGATAGGTTAAGCTTGGCTTTCTTACTATGTGCAACAGTTCCAAATTCTCATCCTTACTGTGGCTTTGGTTTTCTTCCCTAACGATAACCCTAATATCAGCAAGATTTGACCCTTTCTGGTGGGACCTCTGAGTCAGAAGCCTCATTTCTCACCTGCAACCTATCAATCCTATTCCTTCCCCTTCATATGTATTGCTCTTTTCACCTGAGTTGTTACCAGTGCCATTTACTGCCTCTTTGCCTTCAAGGCATGAGCCTTAAAAACCAAAAGTGGATTCCTATCTATCTCTTATTACTGAACAAGCAGACAGTTTGTTTTCATTTTCCTTATGTTGTTGATCCAGCTTTTCTAAAATCATTGGCAAGAGTCAGGGCATATTGGATTTCAAAATATTTTTACTCTCCTTGTCAAACTTCTTAAATACCCATTGGACTAATATTATAGGGTCAGTGAGAGTCACCTTATCCTACCTATTAAGAGGGCTTCTCATGTAGGCCTGACTAGCAGTGCTGCAGATGTGGAATACCAGAGTCGTGTGGTCATCCAATCTGAGACTACCTTTTTTCTGGCATGGCCCTTCCTCCACTTCAGCCATGAGAACCTCAAAATCATTGCCATCTAACCCTGCTGACTACTGTTGTGGGCCAAACAGATCAGGACAGTCCAGTGATTTAGGCTTGGGATTGGATCACAGTGAAATACTTGTGGACCATAAAATGCAATAAAAATAACTTATAATAAAAAGGACATACTTTAATAAGAACAGATGCTCCCCTCCTCCCACTTCTACATTCACCAGGGCAGTAGCATTAGGTCAGAAAGATGTCCAATAGGTCAGTAGGCATTCTACCAAACCTCTTGAGCTCTAACCTCAAATAGACTGGGTTTTTATACCTACAGTTCTCTGGACCAAACAAGTCTCAAGGACAGCTTCCTTGATGGAAAACCATCATAGCCCACGTAAATTAAATATTGTTTCTACTGTAAATAATGTCCTATCCTTTCACTATCCTAGTTATTTCCCTGAGTGTGCCCTGGTTTGTCTGTGTTTTTCCTAAAGTGCCCATAACTGGTCAGAGCAATCTAGAGACCAGCAGAGTCAGTCACTTCAGTGGGAAGAACGTGGACTTCAATGTGAATGTCTCATATGGAAATTGTCAACAGATAAAATATGGATTAAAAAAGAGATGAGGGGAATATGCCTATTAAAAATTTATTTTTTTCCAGTTACAGGTAAAAACAATTTTTAACATTTCTTTTTTAAAATTTTGAATTCCAAATTCCTTCTTACCTCATTGGGAAGGCAAAATATGCTTTAGGCCTTGTTTCTGATTTTAGCTATCGGTAGCCAGCCAAAAGGTTCAAATGTTGTTGTTGAAGTCAAGATGACCTGGATTCAGATGCTGCTTTGAATTGTGTGACCCTGGCAAGTTATTTAAAGTTCTCTCAATCTTAGTTTCTTAATATATGAAATGGGAATAGTACCACCTACCTTACAGGGTTGTAAGGATCAAATGAGACAGTGCATGTACAATGCTTTGCAAGTCTTCTAAGGTTTATATTGATGTCATCTCTTTATGTTTTTATTCCCATCCAGGCTCCCGCACCCAACCACCTGGCCACCAGGTCTGGAACAAGACCAAAATCAAGGCCCAGACACAGGCCTCTTGCCATTTGCCTTCCCAGCCTTGCCCCTCACCACCAAGTTCTGCCCAGACTACGAGACCTGATGCCCCACCCCCAGGTAATCAGTTCCACATTGGAGCTGGCCTTGAGGCAGAACTGCCCTTGCTGATGATTGGAGGGTGAATAAATCAACTAGACCTCCCTAGAACACAAATAACACAGGCCTCCTCCCATCTGGCCTCAGACCTCTTGCCATCTGGCCTCCTCTGCTTATTGTTCAGGCAATGTTAATCCCGATATACTCTTGAGTTGAGGCCAGAGTCTCAGCTGCCATTGTTTCTGGGAAGGGTGTGACAATCTACTGTTCCATGACTACTGAACTGTCTTCTAGTCAGATTCTTTGTAACTTTGCCCTAACTTTCCATTGTGTTCTAAAGGTAACAAGCTACTCTTCATGTTAGACCTTTTCTCTCATACTCTGTCCATATTCTTTCAGTCGCAAAATCCTGGCTTTCCCTAGGAGACATTGTGTCTGTGGCCAACATCTTCAGTACTGAGTGTACCTTCTCCAATGTCTTTGACACACTAGGCCAGAAAAGGCATTCGGCATGATGTTGTTCCTTATCACCACTTCCAGACATTCCTTTGAGGTTGCTCTGTGCAGACCGATCACCTTATTTAGATCCCAGTTGCAGTTATCTACCCACTTCCAGGTTATCCTCCTTTCTTAAGGAGTTTCATATCCGACTTACAGATTTCCTCTCTAGCCCAACCTCTGTCCTTAATGTTGGGGGACTTTAGTTTACATGTTGTTACCTGTTCAAATGCCCTTGCTTTCTGGTTTATCAGTCACCTTTATTCCCAAGATCTATGCTTTCATTCCATCTCAGCCACATATAAGAATGGTCATTTCACTGATCTTGTCATCACTCATAAGTGTTCACCTCTTTAAACTATAACTCAGAAATTCCTCTCTTGGACTATAATCTCCTGATTTCCATCTCCTTACTGTTTGTTACCCTTGCTGAACCTATTTTCCTTCTTCAGTGTAACTTTCGGTCACTCTACCCCTTCCTGCTTTACCAGGCTATTGCTCCTGACTCTGGCCTTTCTTCCCTTCAAACTCTTTGACCCTGTTGTTAACTAGTCCAACTTTACAATGTCTTCTACTCTTGATTGCATTGTCAGACCAGTGTCCTACCATTATCACAGCAACCCAGGGAGGAGAGAGGAGAGATTGGACAACAGTGTCACATACTGCAGGGAAATCAAAAAAGATGAGGAATGAGAAATGGTTTAGCAGTAAAGAGCCATAGTGACCTTGGCAGGAACAGTTTTAGTCACAGTTGTGAAGACAAGCCAGAATGCAAAGGATTGAAAAGTGAGAAGATGAGAAAATAAAGGCAATAAGTGTAGAAAGCTTTTTCTAGGCTCATCCCTTTCTAAACCCCCAACCACGAGTTTGTCTCACCATCAGTCTTCTCTATTCTTGGTCCTGTGCTGCTTAGTACTATGGGAAGAAGTCACAAATTGACTGGATCCACTTCAGATTTGTTTTCTAATCTCATTAAGGCTCTCACTGCAATTGACAATCCTTTTGCTCTTTCTGGATTAACCAATTCACAGCCTCTGTTTCAAATCCTCTATTCTTCCTTTTTTTTGGGGGGGCGGGGCTAGGCAGTTGGGGTTAAGGACTTGCTCAGGGTCATACAGCTAGTAAGTATCAAATGTCTGGTCTGAGACTGGATTTGAACTCAGGTCCTCCTGACTCCAAGGCCTGGTGCTTTATCCACTGCAGCACACCTAGCTGCCCCTCTGTTCTTCCTTTAAGGTACCTTCACATTCTTCCTCCCTTCTCCCTGCCTCAACAGAAGAGCTGCTTTCCTACTAGAAAAAATTGAGGCCATCCATTATGTGCTTCCTCTTTTCCCCAAGTCTACACTTCAGATTCCTTCAATATCACATCCCTCTATTCTTTCCTTTTCTCCAGGCTCTGATGAATAGGTGACCCTTTTGCCAAAGCCAGCCTCTCTTCTTATGCATTTGATCCCATCTTCTTATATTTTCCTCTGTGAGCTTGCCCTTGACTCCTGTGTTTGTACTACCTTCACCTAATCACCACCCCCACCCCCTTTAGAATGTAAGTATTATTCTTTCCTCCCTCTCACTGGGTGTGACCGCTCTCTACATCTTGCAGAAGAATCTTAGTGATCATACATTCATAGAAGGAAACAGGGGAAAGGCAACAGGACAGGTGCTGGTTTTTTTTTTTATTAATTTATATTGATTGATCAATAATCACTTCCATAAACTTTTGAGTTTAAAATTTTTCTCCCCTTTCCTCCCCACCACCGTCCCCAGGATGGCGCACAATCTGATACAGGCTATACATAAATGTATTTTCACATTAGTGATGTTGTGAGTAAGAATTAGAACCAATAGGAGGAACCACCAGAAAGAGGAAACAAAAGTCAACAGAAAAGAAAAAAAATAGCAAACCACATGCTTCAATCTGCATTCAAACTCCATAGTTCTTTCTCTGGATGTGGATAGCATTTTCCATCACAAGACCTTTGGAGATGTCTTAGAGCCTTGTATTGCTTGGGAAGGGTTAAGTTTATCAGTGTTAGTCATTGAACAACGTGGCTGTTATTGTGTACAATGTTCTCTTGGTTCTGCTCACTTCACTCAGCATCAGACCATATAAGTCTTTCCAGGTTTTTCTGAAACCGTCCTGCTCATCATTTCTTATACGACAATGGTATCTTATCACCATCATATACCACAACGTGTTCAGCCATTCCCCAATGGATGAGCATTCCCTCAATTTCCAACTCTTTGTCACCACAAAAAGAGCTGCTATGAATATTTTTGTACATGTGGGTCCTTTTCCCATTTGTTTGATCTCTTTGGGATACAGCCCTGGAAGTGCTATGGCTGTGATCAGGTGCTATTTTCAAAGGCTGCTGTTTTAGGATGGGGAGCTAAAAGGACTAGATCCATGTGACTTGATCTTTTTCTACTTTTCAGAAGTTTATCAAATATAACAAGTTTCTCTTATAGCTCCTGAGCCCTCATTCAAGAAAGACTCCTGATGATTTATATACTTTTGTCTGTTTACATTGTTTCATTGTTTTTAGTTATACCCGCACTCCACTCTACCTTCCCTTGTAAGAAAGCAAAACAGTTAAGTAAAACCAACTGACATAACAACTGCGTTTGACACAGTATGCAACACTTTACACTCACAGTCCTCTGCCTCTGCAACAAAAGGAGGATAGTGCATTCCCTCATTTTTTAGGACTAAGATTGGTCACTGTGCTTACATAGCATTAAGTTTTGTTTTAGCATTTTTGTTTACATTATTATAGTTGTGTGTATTTTTTTTTTGTCTCTTTTTGCAGAAACAGACAGATCAGAACACTTATGGCCACATCAACCTTTATCAAGTTGACATTCAAATGAATTAAACAGAAATTAAAGATGTAACTTCAAAGAACAGAGATAGGCTTTAGAATAGAAAGTCACATCCTGAGAGGGGGAGAGAGACACTGAGAGAGAATTAGAGGGGTATCATGTCCCTCATCCTTGGCAAGCTCAAGCGTCGGTAGCCTAGCTTGCCTCATCCTTAGATGGTGTCTGTGTGATTTAGATCTCCCCCCACAACCCATCACATTGGGACAGTGGCAGTGGGTGCTCCCTGTGTCTCTCCCTTATATTGTCCCTTGCATCTTTTTCCCACCCTTGTGTCCTAGGGCTATTGCATCACTCTAAATCTCTCTCAAAGCTAGGAGGAAAAAAGGCACTACTTTTAAGACACAACTCTTCATTCTGCGGATTCTGACAGGCCGAAGAGTTTTTGATTCCTCAGCATTCATTACTCCATTTCAGAGATGCACCCAGTCACATCCATAAAGCATTTTGCCAAACTGGAAGCCATTATTATGTCCTTGTTGTCGTCTTTGTTGTGCTTATTTCAGTCTATGTCGGTTCATCCAAGTCTTCCCACATATCCCTGAATTCCTCATAAATTGTCATTTTTCTTCTCAATCATATTACATTTCTGTACCATAGTTTTTTTCAGCGTTTCATTACAAGTGTGATCTTCATTTCAGAGAGAAGGTAGCTAAAGCCCAGAGATTGAAACTAATTTGCCCATAATCACCCAGCTAGTAAGTGTCAGAGGTGGAACTTGAACCCAGATTTTGTTGACTATGAGCCTAGCACTCTTTCTACTCACACTGACATTTCTGCCATGTCTCAAATCATGTTGTCCTTTTTAATGGGGATTATATGATCTTCAGACATACAAGCTAAGAAGAACCTCAGAGACCATCTAGTCCAATCCTTTTATTTTAAAAAAAGTTTTATTGATTCCTTTTCTTTTTATATGACACAGTAATGTTCCATTACATTCATATATCAGCATTGGTTCAACCATCCTTCAGTCATTGGACGCCTGGTATGGGGTTGGGTTTTTTTTTGGTTTGTTTTTTTGCTCTGACAAAAAGTGTTCCTATGAATATTTGTGTGTGTGTGTGTATGTGTATACATATATGTATACATGCATATACACATAACATACATATGTGGAGCCTTTCTGTTTTTTACTCCTTTGAGGGGCATATGAGAAATCATTTATTAAGTGTTTATCATGTGTTAAGCATGTATGCCCAACAGCAGTATTTCTGGGTCAAGAGCCAGCTGCTTTATTTTATAGATGGGGAAACTGAGGCCCCAAGCAAGGAAGGAACTTGCCCAAGGTCAGCTAGGTAGTGTCAGAGTAGTTTCCTAGCCACTGTACCCCACTCTGCTTCCCCATCCAACCCCTTCATTTTATAGAGCAGAAATATGTATCTGCCCAGTTCTACTAGGACATCTTCTAGTGTAGAATTCTGAAATCAAGGAGATGCCCTATGGCTTACAAATCTTCTTTTAAAAAGCTCATTCTCATGCTGAGATTGCTTTAAGGATGCACTCAGCATACCAGCAAGGAATACTTCCTCTTTGTCTGCCATCTAAATCTAGGGGGCTGCTCTCACGAGCTGGGTTATTTCTGGCACGGCCTCCTTTGGCGTACATCACTTCAGCCCAACTGGATTGTGCCCTGTGCCAGGGGCGGTTTCTTTATCAAGCTCCATCCAGCTGTAAGGGGGAAGCTTAAGTGGAGACAGGCTGCCTAGTGAGAAGCCCCTTTCACTTGGTACCTACAGCACCAAGACTGCTGGCAGCCCCCTGCCTCTGCGAGAATGCTGCACTTGCGAGTCCAGTTTCTGGATGATTCCCAGAAGATTTTCATGGTAGATGTAAGTGGCAGTCCCCTTATTGTCCTCCTCGTATCTGGCATGACCTAATGGCCATTTGTCCACTTTACCTTCATTAGCTAACCCAAGAGGTGATTGTTGGCCCCAGCAAAAACCATCCAAACATGGTACTTTTTCCCTTTCAGAAAATGAGTTTTTATTTATTTTAAAAAATGGGTTTGGGGCATTTTTCCGTGAAACTCCTCCAGAGCAAGTACTCTTTTTCCTTGAACACAGAGTAGTTTTTGAGGCATACTTAACATTTGTGAGTAGGAGCTGTTCTGTAGTGGAATGGGCAGCCTGCCTTGGTAAGGTAGTGAGTTGACCATCACTGGAAATCTTTAAGCAAAGGCTGAATGATCACTTGTATGGGGCTGCCAGGGAGGGAAGTCTTGTTCTGGCACAGACTGGGCTGGCCTCAGGGATCCCTTGCAGCTTGGAGAATCTGTGCTTTCATGGAATCACCTGTTTGGGCTATGCATCCAAGGGGTAAGTGGTGGTGGTATTCTCATTGAAATTGTTCTTTGTCCTTTGAGCATTTGCTTAATGCTCTGGAATGCTGACAACACTTTGGTCGTCAAAAGGAGAAGCCAGATCTCTATTCCTCTCCCTGAGGAAAGGTAAGCAACCAAAAGGAAAGAGTGGAAAAAATATGTTGTATTTGGGGACATTTAGAAAGGAGGGAAAAATCAAGGAGGGAGATTCAGATTGTACTTAGCTTTATTTATTTCTGCGATTCTGGACTTGGTACTCAATTGCAGACTTCAAGATGATTCTGTTCAGTCCAATAGCTTCTGTGAACGAAAACAATCGGTCCGTCTTTGTGACAAGTTGTACCTCTCCAGGTGTCATTTCCCAATATCATCAGGATATTGGATATGGTATAGCAGTATTTATTTTTGTTTATTGTAGCCTAACTCGTGATTTCTCTGAGGCTGATGATTCCTGATTGAAGTCATAGTTATCAGAGGGATAATTGGAAAAAGCCAAAGATTTCCTAGGATTCATACAAAAGGTGTTTTTTATTTTTGAAGCATAAACTCACAACTACTGTAAGCCGACAGGGCTACAGGTCAACTGTGTGGGTGACTCCCTTTTAAAGTGGGTTTTTCTTTTTATGTGCATCATATGTTTCTGGTATGATGCGTGTGGTTGCAGGTCTGCCATTTCGCCGTCTCTTCATCGTTTTTATATGGAAAGACGTCTGGAAAGCCACAGACCTGAACGTTTTCACAGCAAATGACTCCCATCATAGGGCCTAGGCATTTCCTATTCTTTCTGGGAACATCATTAAAAAGAAGAGGAACCATGGGGGTAGGGAGTGCCGAGGGGGGGAACAGCCTTTTAAGTATGGAAAGGTGGGGAGAGGAAAGCTGAAAGGGAAAACAGCTTTTTAAGTATTCGATCCATTTACTGGCTGTGACACAGTCCTGCCTGCCAGGCCCCGAATCAGCGACCTCCACATTCAGAAAGACCTGCTTTAGGCTAAGTTTTGAATAGACATTTCAGGCAGCTCAAAGCTGATCTTTTGACAAGAAGTGACAAGGAAGCCTGTTGTACAGGAAACATTGGGAGCCAGTTAACGGGGAAGCACCCACTATGGGAACTTGCAGGAAGAGTCACCCGTGTCTGCTGCTCTTGATTTGCTCCAGCTCTTGGCTTCAAGTCAGCTATCCTCTTGCAAATGGTGAGGCCTGCTGTTATTTTGGGGTATAATGGGAGAGGCCTGATACCCAGCAATTGGGGTGTCAGCGCAGCTGAGCCTGCTGGCATTGTGGGAAGCCAGGCTGTAAGTAGTCATCAGCAGTGTTTCTAAGAGTGGGATTCTCATTGCAAGGCTGAGTTGTAGCCCTTGGAGGAGGGGAGAGTGGGAAGAGTGGGGTGGGGGGGAGCATACATGAAAAGGAAGCGTCTTTTTAAGATACCTGACCATGGAAAGGACCCTCTAATGAAGTAGCGAGGAGAGTACATGTTTGTATAGCGCTCAAAGGTTTGAAAAGCTCTTGCATGTAATTTTTTTCCATTGGCTCCCTACAACCACCCATTTTATAGATGAGGAAGTTGGGGCTCAGAAAGGTTGAGTGACTTGCCCGGAGCCATCCAGCTATAATAAACATTGGAGGTAGGATTCGAGCCTGAGGTCTCCTTACTCTCAAGTGCTGTGCTCCATCTACTACACTGCTTGAGCTAGTGGGCTGCCTTGGCACTGGGAGTATTCAAGCAAAGGTTTTTTCCACACACCTTATCCAGGTGCTCTGAAGATCGTACTAGCTAACTGCCTGAAGGCCAGCTGAGCCACGCTGGGATTCTTGGAAAGGCAATGTAGTTCAATGGAAAGAACATTGGTCTGGGGAAGCAAAAGACCCAGGCTTGAATTTTGGCTCTACCACTGACTATAGCACCCTGAAAAAGTCCCTTTTTCTCCTAGAACCCTAGTTTCCTTGTCTGTAGAACTGGGGATACTTTTCCTCCCTACTTTTCTGCATGCCTGTGAGGAAAGTGCTTTATAAACTGTCAATCACTGTAGTAATAATAATTGGCATTTCAATTGTGGTTTGAGGTTTTCAATGCTCTTCCCATACATTCTCTCATCTGGAGTGGAAGAAGTGGCCTGCATGGACTGCAGCCACTACCGAAGCTGGCGCCTAAGGTAAAGATGGGGTAGTGATCTGTGTGAACACAGGGACAGACTGCCGGGAGGAAGTCCTGGGTCCGTGAGTTGTTGCGTTCAGTGTTCTCAGCAGCCTGGGAGGTGCAGTCCTTCCTCTGAAGGAGACCCCTAGGCCAGCGCGGAGCAATGCAAAACCAGTACCAGGTCCTTTTAGTGTCTGAGTCCCCTAAATTATGTAGAAACACCCCCACCCCCACCCATGGTGAGCACAATCCACGTGTATTTGTTAAGCATTTACCGTGTGCCAGGACTGGACTACAGATTGAAGATAAAGGTAAAAATGAGCTCAGATTCTAATGGGGGAGATAAATACATGTAAAATACATCCAGCACAGCTATGAAGTGAACAGGTACATACAGATAGAGAGACCCACAGGTTAGTTAAATACAAGGTTGTTTGGGAGGCAGGGCTCCTAGCAGCTGGGGGGACCACACCATTGTAGACAATGGTGCCTCAGCTGCATCTTACAGGAAGACAGATTCTGTGAGGCAGGCATCCTTTGCAGGCGTGGGGTACAGCCAGTACAAAGGTATAGGGACAGAGATGAAGTGTGAGTGAGGAGCAGAACGAAAGCCTGTTTGGCTGGATTGGCGTGTGGGAGGAGGGGGAGCAACGTCTAATGAGGCTGGAAAGGTAGACTGGGACCAGATTATAGAGGACTTTAAAAGCTCAACAGAGGAGTTGATCTGTTATCTTTGTAGCAATAGGAAGCCACTGGAGTTGATTGAGTAGGGGAGTGACAAAGATAGAAATATTTCCATCAGCCCTCTCCTGACTCAGATGCACCTGTCAGGCTGTGGGCTCAAACCAATAATCACAATGTGGGTGCTTGAGACCAGCAAGTACCGAGCTGAGCGTTGAGAGAGGAGCAAACTTTGTTTGCTGCATAAATAGCAGGGAGTCAGCTAATGCAAGCCCCCACAAATAATTAAACCGTAGCACTTCAAGGAGAAAAGTATTGGCAAAGCTGGCACCGGGAGGGTGTAAATAGCTAGAAGATAGATCAGTGGCCCTTGAGGTCCAGCCTTTTAGTAGAAGTTGCTGATAATTTGTACGTCTTTCTACCCATTTTCCCGTAAATTCGCCTCCCTTTGCAGA